TAATTTTTTAGTTTTTTGATTGGAGAAGGCGGCGGCGCTGGAGATTAGCAGATGAAGGAATTGGTGCCAAAGAAACAAGAGGGGTGTAGATGATAGGAACTAGGAAGTTGCACTCCCCTGAAGAGGATTAAACAAATAAAAGAAGCTTAGATGCGAAAGAGAAATAGTTGAATAATGAACAGATTAAATGGTTAGGCCTTGAAATTTGGTTTGATAAAATATAATGCGATTGACAATTGGACATCCCACTGGTTCACCTCCATTTTAGGGATTATAATCTACTTAAGAATTTGTAGAGGAGTGTTTTTAGTGTTGCATAAGAGAAAGGAAGTATATCTACACAACATTTTCACATCAGTTCTCTAAAAAAGAAACTAAGATTTTCTTCAAAGATAAAGAAAGTAATGCAGAAAGACAACAAAGATTTGGAAAAAAAAAGGATCCAACACCAGATTTGGTTCTACCGATAGAACTCTAAATAGAGATTTGGGGAAAAAAAAAGAGAAAATGAATCAACATCCGACCGACAAACATAAATGTATTTTTGTAATAAATAATCACAACCGGTAGGTAACCTCCGATTGGCGAATGTACCTTCGAGTTGGGTACGACAACAAACACTTGGGGTCATCAACGACTGGAAGAAGAGCCAGGAAGGTCTATTCACTAGGGGTGAGCAAAAAAAAAAAAAGTGAACCGACCGAAACTGAACTGAAAAAATCGGTTAACCAAATCGGTCAGTTCGGTTTCGGTTAATCAATATAGAAAACCGGTGATTAACCAAACCAGCCGGTATAAATATAATATTAATAAATATGCATTACATATAAATATATATTTATAATATATTATCTATTATTTATTATTTAAAATATAATATTATATATTTATATATTTTTTATAATATATATTGTAAAAATTAAAAAACTAAAAAAACCGATAAATCGAACTAATGGTTAACTGACCGATTTCGATGCGATTATGGTTACCAGTTTTCCAAAAACCAATAGTACCGGTTCGGTTCCAAAAAATGCCCCACGGTTCGGTTAACTGAACTGTGAGCACTGATACTGTTCACAGGGGAGACTTGCAGGAAGGTAATAGATCTAAAAAAAATGTCAATATCGGCGTGACAACGAAAATAGTAGAAGGTTTCAGGTTGACGGTGGTCTTACCGACGACAAAGAACAGGAAAGTCGTGAACAATGACAACAATTATTTTCAAACAAAACTATGGCGGTAATTCTCAGGGTAAACTTTCTAATTTAGACGCATTAGGGTGAAAAAAGGTTATCTTCTGGTTTGCGATGCATGGAATCAACCTACTTGAACCACCACGCTGGCATCCACATCAACGCCACATCAACAATGGGTTTTGAGAAATGCCAGGCCGTTGAGGGAAGCGAGAATTTGTTGCTTTCCCCAATGGCTCTGGGCACACAAATCTATGGGTTTTAGTTTCTTACCGTTTTTTTCAATAAATTGGTGAACCAAATAGTGGTTCAACCCTCAATAAACACCAACGCCTAACTGATACAAACGTGGCATCGTTTTTTAAGAAACACCCACGGAACTATGCTAAATTTGGACTAATCCAATTCAACATATCTTGTTGATCCATCCAATCAGTTTGCTTTAAACAGTTCCAATCGGAAACCGGTTTATTAACACCCCTAAGGAGGAGGTATGGGTGGAAGTTTTATGGGAAAAGTACGGATAAACCCATTTCAGAATTCTGAAATCCAGGCCAGTCTAGACAGAACCTAATTAACCTGTGAATTAGGATATCCCTTATTTTTTGTAATTTCAAAGTTACTAATTAACCTGTGAAGACTAAAATGACTCTAATGGGGCCTATTGTCTAAATCTCTCTCCCGCTCTTCCTCCTCTTTCGTTGTCTCTCCCACTCTCAACTCTCCTATTCCTGTAACTTTCTTCCTCTCAAACTCATAACTCCTCTTTCGCTTTTGCTCTCCCGCTCTCTCTTTACTGCAACCGCTTATGTTTCTACCGTTTATCTTACCCGCTTCGACGATACGGGAGGAGACAGAGATGTTTGTCTCATTACCCTTTTATTAGGTGGACGTCGAACCATTATAGATAAATGAAGAAACAATTCAAACATAATATTATACGTGTATCTAACCGTTTTGATCCTTGGGCTCAATCCCAAATGTGTTAGGATTTAACCATGGTTGGAATGGTTTCGGAGCATTGGGTTCGAGTTGGGTTAAACTTGGGTTAGTAGATGGCTTTAAAAGGGAGTGCTCACTACTCTATTTTTGCACCCTTCCTATTTGCTTTATTCGGAGCCTTCCCTCTACTGAAATTGGATGGTGGACACCTCCATTTCCCCTTTCGTTTTTCATTTGTTTTAGGGTTTCATTTTGTTCTTCTTTCTTGTTTCCAGCTTCCAGTTTCAGCCTTTCTATTGAGCTCCCTCCCTGTTGATCCTATTCCTATTGCTTTCTTTTATGTTTGATGAGCTCTGTGAATCACCCCACTCCTGTATCTTTGGGGGCATAATCATCTGTCTCAATTTCAACATGTTGCACTGTAATGCCTCTGGATTTGTTCCTCTGGTTTTTGGTGGTTTTATTGTTTTAAATTTTATTTGCCTTGAACTTAAAGAAGAATTCTACGAACTTAGAAACCTCCGACAGAAATAACAATTCCATCGATCGAGAACATTTTCACAGAGAAATTAATATGAGTAAATTATCTAGATCCTTGTACATGGCCCAAACCTTTAAAACTTCAATGCTCATATGCGAGAAGTCCATACACAACTATTCTATAATGTCTGACAAGTACTGGATAGTTCTGTGTTGCATATGAAACAAAAAATTACATGAAAAACTTATCTCTAAATTATATTAGCTTTTAAAAAATCCGAATTTTCTCAGATTTTTTAAGTCAAATTGTCTATACTTTTTTTTTTTCTATACTTTTGTGATGCTCTATTTGAATCTTCCTATGTATATATTCTTTGAGGATGTTCTTCGCTTGTTCGAGTATCTGAGATTTTATAATTGTTGATCAACCAACAACAAGGTTTCTGAGAGGAGACGGCGGCGAACGAAACCAGAAACGAGAACGAAGAATTCAGCTTCAAGAACGTTGCAACTGCTGGCAACGGGCTCGGGAGGATCCAAACTCATAAGAAATAAAATGGAATCTGTCACGACGACAGTTCCCCTCCTGTTGAAGCTCAGACGATCGATGAACTATACGTATAATATTATGTTTGAATCGTTTCTTCATTTATCTATAATGGTTGGATGTCCACTAATGAAACAAACATCTCTGCCTCCTCCCGTATTGCCGAAGCGGGTGAGGGAAATGGTAGAAACGAAAGCGGTTACAGTAGAGGAAGAGCGGGAGAGTGAAAGCGAAAGGAGAAATAAAGTTGCAGGAACAAGAGAATTGAAAGTTGGAGAGAGAACAAAAGAGGAGGGAAAAATTACAAAAATAAGAGAAATCTGAATTGGCGTGGAAATCTGTCTTAAGATTGAAAAAGTTGAATTTGAATATCATTTGGATTTTGTATGGGCTGACCTGAATTTCAGAATTCTGTATCCGTACTTTTCCCAAATTTTATTGGTAACGGATCCCAATTCTCAAGAATGATAAAAGGAAGACGTTCCCAATGTGCGACGAATAGTGTTGGAAGTTTTATTGGTAGCTGACCCCCACTGGTAATCCTAAGCGAAGAAATGTCGTTATTTTGTTTTTTAAAAGCCTTTTATTTTAACTGCATTAAATGTGAATACCCAATAGTGAGTTGGTAGTTGGTTGGTACCTCTCTCTAAAAACCAAATAGTGAGTTGGTACTTGAAAAAAAAAGATGTCAATAGTGAAGAACTATAGCCTAGAAAAAGAAAATTAAATACGCCACCGACTCCGGTAACTCCGACCTAGGTACCGGGAGTTGGGCAACAATTATTTGACACGTGGCGTGGTAAAGTTGATTGATACCTACCGTTGTTGGTCCCACTCACACCTATCTATGACTATGATATCACTGGGAGTCCGGATCTTCTGTCCATCCAAACTCTGCATACCTGCCTATTCAATTCTGCCTACGATTATCCACACAACATCGCAGTTACACATTGAGAATATCTCATCTTCCTATTCAGGGAGAGATGTAAGATGTTCTATTGTGGGTAGACGTGGGCCGAAGATCCGGAGTCTATCACCGGAAGAGAATGGTCAACAATTGTGAACCGTACCTGCTACGAGTTAGAATATTCAGTAACCATCTAAAGGTACTCGGAACGGAGTAGGGATCTACTGTTAAATTACCTATTAGGGTTGGCTTTTTACCGTTTGTGTCCGCAGCAAATCTCGACTCCTGCGAAGACAAGTTGGGGATCAAATGGTGAATAATCATTTGATGAACTTTACGTGGGACCCGTTTGCCCCGTAACAGACGCGTGTCAAAAATTTTGACCTCGACACTTTGACAGACTCTGGATCCACCCAATCAATGGTTGGTGGAACCTATAATTGTAATTCTCTCACAAGGATAGGGATATTTTGGTAAAATAACGTGGGACAACTTCGACTTTTTGTCTTTTCCCCGCCGAGGTCCGTTTGGAGATCATATCAGCGCCTCACTAGCGCCCCATACACACATCTCAGCGTATATTAAGAATATCTTTCGATTTGTCATCGGGAGATGTTTCCAGTACACCATTGTGTAAAGCGTTGTGGGGCGCGCTCATACAGGGTGCCTCATATGTACATCGTGCATTGCGAATATCTATCGTACTTGTCATTGGAAGATGTTATCAGTATACGGTTCAGATGTGCCCTGAGGCGTATTTGTGGGGCGCTGATGTGAACTCGTGATTTCGCATGGGCGCCTTACATAGATGTTTCCAATGCACGCTGAGCATGTGGGGCGCGCTCTGTAAGGCGCTAATGTGAACTCTGGGGTAATTGGGTTGGTGAGAAGCGGCCTATAAATACGAAATGCTTCTCTACGAGATCTGGAATCCAACTTTTTCTTTGTGGCTCGCGCGACATTCTCCCTTCTCTCTTCTTTCCTTGCTCCTCTGCTAAGCTCTGCTAAGCTCGGGTTTATTCTGCAATGGCGTACGAGGGAATCCTTTTGGGGATGGGAAACCCCCTCCTTGATATCTCCGCAGTTGTTGACGATGAATTCTTGAAAAAGTAATGAGATTTCTTGTACCTTTCTCCGATTTAGCTATATTTCTGCAGATTTAGCCTTTAAGCTCGTTAGCGCGTAGATCTTGAGATTTGATCCCTTTTTTTGATGGTTGTGTAAATGAAAGTATCTGCCCTATATTCCATGTTATATTCGGTTAGATTTTGTAGATACTAGAAATACGGGATTCCCTGTTTTTGCTCACTTCATTTGATTTACTGTGATATCATTTGATCTTGTTTAGTAGGTCTTAGATTCCAGAAACTTTTGTACATTTATTGTGTTTGTTTTTGCCGGGTCGGAGACTGTAATGTTTTACGCTTTGAGTTTGATCAACTTTAACGACAATTTACGGCGGAAGTTTATGTCCATCGAGATCTCAGCTCTAGCAAGCTGGATATTCTTGTTTGATCTATCTGGTACTTAACGTTTTAGCCGTGTTTAGAAAACTTCAGTATTACTTGCTTTCCTAGATGCCGTTTATGGTTTGAGTTGTTTGCATTCTTATGTAATTTTTATTAAATGCATAGAAGATCTAGATTTCAGAGATCCATATATGATCTTCAGTCTATGGTTTTCCATGTGGTTGGAACTTGGAACCACTATGATTGGTAGTCATTTCATTTCTTGTTGCTGGGTTGTTCCAGGCCGAATTTGTTTCTACTTCGTTTCTGTCTGGGATCAGCTTCTTATGATTTAGTTTCACGTTATATGTTAAAATTCCATTATACCTGTTTGTGTTGTTACTTGTGGTTTGATACGTGTTCCTAATGAACATTTTTTGACGGATAGGTTTTTAATGAACTTGATGTTGTAAAATCTTTCATTTTTCATGCAGCATTTATGATCATAATTTTGATCCATGAGTTTTTTTTTTCTTCTTCTTCTGGGGAGGAGTATATTCTTCCTGGATTTGGTAGGATTTCCTTCAAATCACCAATGTTGAAATTGGTGGTTAGAAAAGTGAGTTTTACTTATTGTTTATTTGATTTTTTTCTTTCACTCTTCTTGTGCATTGTAACTATTTTTGGGCCTGCTATAGCACTCTTCAATCTTTGATATACGTATATGCATACATGTATTTATTCCTTTTTTTCTTTGGGAAGGCTTGCAATACTTGGGTTCTTAAAACTATTGTCTACTGTTTTCTCTATCTAGTAAAGGCATTTTCTGCTCGTTTTTTGCTCTGCTTGTACTTATTATTTATACTTGGGTTATTTTTATCTTTTATTCTACTTTTTATCTGAACCATGTTATCCAGTCTAGATATGGCAAGGGCACTGGATAATATATTGGATACAGAATTTACATTAACAATTGAAGTATCCAATATGATTCAGCATCCTTGAACAGGTATCCAGGCAGGGGCGGAGCCAGGGGGGACCCAGGGGAGCAGTGCCCCCCCTCCATGGGCCCATCCATACTTATTCCCCCCCTCTACCATTCCACTTTAGGTTTTGGCCCCCCACACAAAAAATTTCTGTCTCTGCCCCTGTATCCAGATATCATAGTTTCTGATTTCTGAATAGTAATGATTTCCTTTTTATTCTACTTATACATTATACACCTGCTATTTAGGAGATATTTTATTCTAAATTATATGATTTAATGGTTTGATTAATTTTCAATTATATCCAACTTGTCAGAGTTTGTTAGTAACTTGAATACTACTTTTTTTTTGTATTTGTTTCTGCAAACTCTTATTATTTTAGGTCTTAAATAGTTTGGAATATGCATCGCTTAATGTTGTAGAATTAATTCATCTTCAATGTTTGCTGGCATTATTGCACTTTTGTTGTTGGGGAATATATGTTTTCTTAACTGTTGAACTTCATGGTTTTGAGGTTTATCTGGTTGGCTTCTTGACAGGTATGACGTCAAGTTAAACAATGCTATTCTTGCAGAAGACAAACACCTACCAATGTAAGAAGAAACTGTACCCCTCTAGTTTTCTACTGTCAAATCTATTTGATTTTATATGCTAAAATGTGGGATTGGCAATTTGTTTACTCATGTGTTTTGAGCCTTTCCTATCAAAGAAGGTCTTCAAACCCATTACCCTTCTTTTCTTGGGTGACAACTAACATAAAGGGTAGTTATTGGATGTTGGATGTTGTTCTCTAGTATTGTTTTTTTATCAGCAAAATGATTCCATTAATTACTAATAAAAAACTTAGTACAGCAGTTGGAAAGTTTCAACAAACCCCTTATCCTACTCCATTTACACTTCTAAACCAATTAAAACTAGGATTGGCTTCCTTTGCTAGGATATCCATATCCCTGAATGCATGCCTATTTTTCTAAGGTGCTGATTTAACTTGCTTGGTACAGTAAATGACTAGTTCTGAATCTCCTTCAAATTCCAAGTCCCTAATATCAAGCTCTGGTGCTAGTCTCATTCCTTGTAAGAGTGCCATGATTTCAGCTTTGATTGAGTCTCCAAAGCCAATTGAAATTGCATACATCGCTACCACCACTTCTTGGTGGTTCCTAATCACTCTCCCCATGTCCTCCCTTATCAGATTTACCAAAGAGGCATTGAGTTGCCATCAAAGTTCAGCTTCATATTATACACAACCAGAGGATTCCATTCCATTCTCATTCTGTCAACATGCCTACTTGTTGGTGGCACATTGGTCCAAGTTCTAACAATGTCATTGATTGAAAAGACTCAGACTATCTCCAAAGTTTTTACTCAATCTGCAACTCTAACTTCTTTTTGATAGGTATACGCAACTCTAACTTTTTTTTGATAGGTATAGACAACTCTAACTTTTATGGCTTCAATTAGTTCCTCCATAGATTTGTTTTTTTTATTGAATATATTCTTTGTTTTTTTTTTCTCAAACCTCCACACCATTGCTACTCTTACTGTCCTCCACATGATCTCTCTCTCTCTCTCTCTCTCTCTTTCTTTTGCCTCAGGAAATTGGGGTTGAATAAACTTACCACATCCATTGGTTGGGACCATTTGCAACCAAAAATAGAAAAAAAAGAATCCCAAATACAAGACATAAACGGATGGGAGATTAATAAGTGAGGAATGGCCTCACCACTGGCCTTACAAAGAATACACACATGAGGAGAGAGGCAAGTGTTAGGCCTTCTTTCTTGCAGCATATAATAGGTGTTGACCTTTCCATGGAGCATTTTCCAACACAAAGCTTGTACTTTAGGAGGGATAGGTTTGCACTATATTTCCTTCATTGGTATCACCACCTAGGAATTAGAGTGGACAAGAAGGTTAAAGAATGAGACACGTCCGCACGAGAAAATAAACCATTAGGGGATAGAGACCAAATCCTATCATCAATACTAATTTGGTCCAAAAACATAGTTTCCGATTTCGATAACAAGAGAACATGGTAATCACATTTATGCCCTCCTAAACCCAAAGTTCCAATTTCTCCCAAGTGGAGAGGTCACACCAAATTTCGAAATAGGATCGAACTTGTACTTAGATAGGGAGTAGAGTATAGGGAATTGTAGATTAAGGGGCATGCCACCAATCCAAAGATTCTCACAAAAGAGCACTTTATTCCTACAACCCACATCAAAACAAGTAAAATTAAGGAAAGGAGTACCTCAATTATTGCTTTCCAAGCGGAGCTTGACAAAGTGTGAGGAGCCAATTTTGTGTCTTCGCCATTTTTTCGCTAAACCATTTTTGCTTCTAATAATCCTGTGCCATGGCCTATCTTTATAGAGTTGTGTTTTCTCTTTATCATATTCCCAATTCCTAGCCACCTTGCTCCTTAGATTTACATACACCTATTCCCTTTTTATCAAGTGGTCATTCTTTTCATCACCCGGTTCCCATAAGAAGTCTCTCATAATCTTTTCTAGCTGCCCAGCTATTTTAATCGAGATCCTAAGAGTAGACTGGTAGTAAATAGGCAGATTTGCTAATGTTGGACTTAATTAAAGTGATTCTTTCTCCCAGTGAAATGTACTTCCTTTTTCACATAACCAGCTTTTTGACAAAGCTGTATTCTGTGTTTTTTTGATAACTTGGTACCTATATCAGTTAGAATTTGTTCACCAGTCTACAACTATGAATTTAGTGGAATTTGGAATAAAGAAAATTTGGGATTATGAACTTGGCATTTTCAAGGTTTGATTATCTTTTGTTGATATGGTATAGTCATATCTTCTGTTTGTTGATATTGATTAAGTATGAAGTAGTAAATATGGTATGAGAGGCCTGACACTTTCACAAACTTAATCCAGATAGAATGATATGCAACAATCATTCTATTCGATGAACTAAATCATCTTCTTCCATGGCAGAAATAGATTAGATCATGTAGGGAAGCTCCCTACTAAATCATCCATTTACATTATATGTTTCAGTGGATTTGCCTCTATGATTTGATTATTTGATTCATTATATTGAAAAAAATGTGCTTCATTATATTTGGCTAAGAATCTTTGGGTGGATGTTCATAGGTATGATGAAATGTCTAAAAAGTACAATGTTGAGTACATTGCTGGAGGTATTAAAAGATAAATTTGTTTTTCTGTTTATTAACATAAAAATGTTCAATTACTAGTTTGTTTACCATGAGTTTGTTATATAATTATGAGTTTTTTGTAATCTTCTAGGTGCTACTCAAAATTCAATTAGGGTGGCTCAGGTATATCTGAATTTATTTTTGTTTTATTATTCCTGTAATGGTATTTCCTTATTCCAATAAGTTTATCTTTTTCGGACCATTTGCAGTGGATGCTTCAAATTCCTGGTGCAACTGGTTATATGGGTTCCATTGGAAAGGATAAATTTGGGGAAGAGATGAAGAAAAGTTCAATGGCTTCTGGTATTAATGTAAATTTCTTCATTTTATATTGATTCTTTTAATCTTTTATCACTTACATTCAGCCTTTATTGCCAAAATTTTCATCTTGTTGAGGATAACACATCTTACAATCAGGTGCATTATTATGAGGACGAGTCTGCACCAACAGGCACATGTGCTGTTTGTGTTGTGGGTGGTGAAAGGTCAGTTGCATCATACTTCCTCTACAATTCTTTTGTCTAATGTTGCATGTTTTTAAGAGGTTGTTGTTTGTATATCCACCACTATATCTGTGTACATGCATCGGGCCAAGCCTCATTGACTTACTCACCCCTACTGTTTGGAAATTGACTTAAAGTATCCCCAAGTTTTCTGACAATTGACTAAATTCTCTTACCGTTACGGAAAGATGAAAATGACTATTTTGCCCATCATTCTATTTTAAAATTTCAAAATGAAACATTTGAATAAAAGATTATTTTATTTTTTTAATCTTCCTAATTTCTTTGAATGCTAGCAAGATGCAAGCAAAAACTGAAACTACCCTAGCTAAGAAACAAGTAAAAGAACTTAAACTTGGAAGTCTCCAACAACTTGAACGACGGATTGAGCCCAAACTGGAACCTGAGATATGAATGCATCTTCCAGGGATCTATCTGCCTCTGGTAGCAAAGCCATGAGCTGCTTTGTTGCAATTTCTAGGGATAAAGGCAAACTTGGCTGAAAGAGGCTGAAGCAAACATTGAATATCTTTTACTAAAAAGAGGATTTCTGATAGCACATCCATCTTGGGATTGAGAAGAGCCAGCATGTGGTTCCTGTAATTGCTTTCAGAAATAACTTGAGAAACATTCAATCTTCTAGTTATCTTGACCCCTTCAATCAGTGCAAGAGCGAACCTGCACAAAAGGCTCCCACTGAGCACCTGCCTCTGAAATCACACACAATGACCCACCAAGCACCTGCCTCTCGCTGAAGCTTATCAAAAGGCAAAACAAAAACAAAACTGTGCAATCAGTGCATTTGGGAAATCCATTGAGAATAGACCAAGACAAGGTGTTTAGGGCTCGCTTATAACCCACTTATCCGTTGAGCACAACATGCTGTAGATCCTCCAGCATGTTACTCCCTCCTTTCCCACAACCCTAGAGGCCAAAGCAGTGTCCTCAGTAGCCAAGAAACCAATCCAACAATCAAATCAACCAGATCCATTTCCTCCTATTCTTGCACCGTCGGTGCCTTCTTTGACTACAGCTGTAGCTTGAAACTGCCACAGAGAATCCCAATTTAAATCCTCCTATTTTTACTCCATCCATTCTTGTCTGGAGATGGAGCTGAATAAAATACCCTTTGCGATGGTGGGTACACTAGATTTGTGGGGTCTCCAATGCTGGAAGATGATTCAAATGATGGATTTGGAAGTGGGAAGAGGAAGGTTTCCGGGGTCCAGATGTTTGGAGACTTGTGGAAGAAGAAGGGGCAGAAATAGATCATACCCATGCCTCTCTATTGTTTGGCAATGGCACTTGCATTTCACAGCTTTGCATTTCATGGTTGTGAATCATGAATGCACCATTTGATGTGCATCCTACTAGCATTCTGCTTATGCAACGATGTTAAGTTTCATTTTGAAAGTTTGAAGAATAATAGAGGGCAAAATTGACCACAGAAGGGTAATATTGGGTTTTAGAAAAAAATTATACGTCACATGGTGTCACATGTGCACAGATTGTGACGGAACATTAACAGACGGTAATGGCAGGGGTAGAGCTAGTCAATTGTTAGAAAACTTAAGAGTACTTTAAGACAATATGTAGAACTAGTCAGTTTCATAAACCATAGGGGTATTTTAAGAAATGTGCCCCTTTTTTTGCAAATGCAATTTCTACCATACCAGGGACTAAGCCAGAGATGCATGCAAAAATTGCAATCATGATAATATTAGACCCTCTTAAGTTATCCTTGAAATTTAAAGTGCTACCTCATGGAGACACCGATGGTTTATGAACTAAGGAAATATAACATACACTTGCACCTAAGCCTCATTGATGCAACGTTTCATATGTAATACACAATAACGCAACATCCAAATACAACTAACATTCTCAGGAGTTATATTTTTGTGCATATACATCATACTGATGTACAGATGCCAAGAAAATATCCTTTTATCTTTCTGCAAAATGCTATTTATTAACATTCTTTTCATGAACATACAAACAGATCACTTATAGCTAATTTGTCAGCAGCAAATTGCTACAAAACTGAACATTTGAAAAGACCAGAAAATTGGGCCCTTGGTAATTTCTCTTATGTTTTATTTTGTTTCTGTTGTTCTTTGTTTAGTTTATATATGCTTTTCTTACTTATATAAAGCCATGTTCCTACAGTTGAAAAGGCCAAATACTTTTACATTGCTGGGTTTTTCCTTACGGTGTCCCCAGAGTCCATTCAACTTGTAGCTGAACATGCAGCTGCAAAGAACAAGGTAATCAGTGATAATTGGTTTTCAGTTACCTCAGCATCAACAACTTCATTCATTTTTTGCTCCATGCAGATATTCTCAATGAACCTCTCTGCCCCCTTCATCTGCGAATTCTTCAGGGATGCACAGGAGAAGGCCTTACCGTAAGTTTTTCCTCTATTTGTAGTATTAGTTCCAAGCTAGAGAATGTACTGATATGGGTTAAAATTCTTGGGTTCAGTTACATGGACTATGTCTTTGGAAATGAGACAGAGGCAAGAACTTTTGCAAAGGTTCATGGTTGGGAGGTAATGATCAATTGATGATGTTGGCTTTTATGGATTCACTTGTGTTTAAATGGTTTTTCTGATTGGGTTTGCTTCTTCTGGTCAGACTGATAATGTTGAGGAGATTGCTTTGAAGATCTCCCAATGGCCTAAGGCATCAGGAACCCACAAGAGGATTACTGTGATCACTCAAGGTGCTGATCCTGTTGTTGTTGCCGAGGATGGAAAGGTGAAACTGTTCCCAGTGGTATTGTTACCCAAGGAGATGCTTGTTGATACCAATGGCGCAGGTATGTGCTTTATTATCTCTACAGGAACCCTGGATGCTCAAATTAATAAACATGCCCTTCCTAGCACATGCTGTTTATCATAAATTCATGATTTTCCGGTGCTCCGTGCCTTTAACAAACCTTTCTCTGAACAATAAAAATTCAAAATAGCCCTGGTTCTGTTGCTTTGGTTATACCTCTAGTCAACTTTCAGGGTTTATGATTTTTATGGCTCTTAACTATCTGGTGTATGATTCTAGACCCCACCCATCACTCCATTAGGCATCGCAAAACAAAAAACTTGATATAAAAAAAAGAAGGAAAACCTGAATGGTGTATTGCATTTTTTGGGGCAGGTGATGCATTTGTTGGTGGATTTTTGTCTCAGTTGGTTCAAGAGAAGCCCATTGAAGATTGTGTGAGAGCTGGTTGTTATGCAGCCAATGTCATCATCCAAAGGTCTGGCTGCACCTACCCGGAGAAGCCTGATTTTAACTAAAGTTTCTCATAGTTCTTCCTGGCTACCATGTTTTTCTATATATTAATTGATTTTTAGCTAGAGACTTCTAAGAGCATGTATGCAACGCTCTTTATCTTTGTTTGTGACACGGAGTAGCCGGTTTTATTTCTGATCAACTTTCCCGAGTCGAGCATAATTATATTTGAAGGGCGTTTAAGCCTTTTTCTTCTGTGATGACTAGAGGCATTTGGGCCTGTGGCATTTTCAGAGTTGGATCTTTTTGTGCATTTTGGGAAGTTTAATGCCATTCGATATGAGATACGAGATACACTTTGTTTAAACTTTAAAGTATTGATCATGACACGCGACGAATGTTTAAACTAAATTTTATTTTACCATTCTTTTTTTTGAAGGTTTCAATCATATTTCATTCATTCAAGTGATTGATACAAATAGATGCTAACAAGGCCAAGTAAAGAGACAAATTCTCAAGAACAAAACAAAGAGACGGATGTAGGAGAATTGTAAGAATTTCTGCAACCAAAGTAAGGTGATTTATCATCACCACCATAATTGGCGAGCAAAGTGACAAAAACAGTTTTCAACTAAAATGAAAACTGACAGAGGAAGTTATAAAGCATCTGTAACTTCCAACCACTCCAAACTAAACCACAAAAGATAAACGCACACATGCCCCGAGTTTGGGGGGTCAATCACTTGACTCCTTTTACTATGCTGGATTCCCTCAAAACATACGTCCTAGTGGGCCAGGTTTCTTGCTTGCCTCTAAATGGGCTTTTTTTAGAAGTGCTTCTAAAAAAGCATTTAAAATCTGCTTGGTAAGGTACCTTTTTCTAAAGAAAAATGCACTTATTGACAAATAACGCTTGGTTCAAAACGGGCTTTTGTTAATATAAAGATAAACTCAACAATTCTGCGATGGGGTTTTAATCAATTTATACTTTTTATATGAATAAAATGAGAAAACGTATTAATCATACCTGGCTTGTCACAAAAACCATTGGTGGAGGCGTTTGATAATTGATACAAAACAAACAATAATAAATAAATAAATAAACAAGCGGTGAGATACCCTTGTATTTATGGGATGCGTGAACCCTCCAACACAAAAAGACAAAAAGACTTTAGCCGTCAACACAAAAAGACAAAAAAAAAAGGTCTGTCCTCATTTCGAACTCCCTCCCTCTAATTTTTTTTTTTCATTCTCCTCCGCCGATTCTAGCACAGCAGCATTCACCGGCGTCCTCACTCCATACCGGCGTTCGTAAACACGAAAGCCACTGATGGCGAAAGGAATATCATCCGGCGTTCGGCATCCAATGCCCGTTCTCAGCCCCTCCTCCTTCTTCATTCAGTGAAATAGGGGCCGGTGTGAGCTACGGTTCTTCGAACTGTGATATCCCTCACCACCGGTGGCTTCCGCGTTTACGGACACCAGTTTGTGTTGATGGCCAAAGTTTCGTTGACGTTACCTTTTACTCGCCCCGACGACGTGACCATCTTTGATTGGCGGATTCACGCATCCCATAAACCCACGGGTTCACAGAACGCGCAAACGGCTGTTTGGGTTGAAGGGTTCAATGGTTCAACCATCCAAATTAGTTCTTCTTTGACCATTTCAACATTTCAGGTAAAAAAAGAAAACGGAGGTGGGACCAGTTTCCGAGCCAAACAATCTGATTGTTTGGGTCAACGACAGTTTTACAATCATGGATTTAACTTTGAAAGGGGATTAATAATGAACAACAAAAGTAGAATTAGATTCTTGAGCAATGTTTTCAATATGTCATTGACCTAGATCATCAAACTATCACCCAGTCCCATTTTAGAACTTGCTCAACCTATTAATATGTTTCCAATTGTACTTTTACAATACATTTTGAAAATCTGAAAGCCATACTTTATGTTGGAACTTGGTTTATAGGTTCTGAAGTGTCACATACACCATTGTGATAAAAGAGAAAACAAAATAAAGGACCTGAACCCAAGTCAGCCAAGTCCAAATTTGACCTGAACCCAACTCAGGTTAAAGAAGCAAGCCCTAAACTGAATAAAACCTAGGGCTGCATGCAAATAGTACCCGATTACCCGAATTTGAATTTAATCCGATTGTAATTGGATTGAATATGGATCCACCCTATTCAATCTAATAATATCCGATTTAATTTGATTTTTGAATAAATATATATATCTATCATAAATACTTACAATTTATATTGTATGCATGGGTAAAGTTGCATGGTTTGAATGTTAGTATTTTTATCAAATTATCATATGCTTATGTTTTATAAAAATTATTTTCGATTCATTTTGTTAAAGAAATGCAATATTAAAGTCAATTTTAGTTGATTTTATTAATAATATTTTAATCATTTTTAATTTAATTTACTAATACTATTCAATATCCAATTGTAATTCGAATTGATTCAAATCCAATAAGATTCGGTTCGAAAATACAAATGAATTTAATTTTGACATGCCAATAGGTGATTCCATCCGGTCCATTTATAGCCCTAATCAAACCTGGCCCTACCCTGACCCTGTAGGGTAGGGTCAAGCCGAGTTTACCCTTAATCTAATCCATTGACATCCTTGCCAATGTTTTCAACCCATTGTTGACCTGGCTAGTCAATCTATCACCCCGCCAGGATTTTGGGTCCGATTCAATCAAGACCTGTTATATAGTAAAAAACCGTTGACTTGGTTAAAAATCAATTGACCTGACTGGTTTAATCGCTGACCCGTTTGATCCGGTGACTGGTGGGTTGCACACAATGCATACGAAACTTTCAGAGGCCATAACTTTGCACTCTGATATTCGATTGGGGTGTTTTTTTTTGGTAACTTTTTGAGATCTATGCGTCCCAAGTGTTGTAGGCGCTTTGTCCTGCTATATTCGCAAAAAAAAAAAAAACTCCTTTTTTGGCTTTAAAATGCAATTTTTAATATTGTCATAAATAAAAAATAAAAACTGAATTAAAAAATATATATTAAATATAAAATAATACATATAGCATATTTATATATTATTTATTGCTAATATATATATATATATACATATCTATACTAGCGAATAGTCTCATTTTCTAGACTTTTCATTAGACATTTTTATCTGTTATCTAAACAATATACAACGGGCATAAAAAGGGCATATATACCCTTTATTCTCACTCCAAAAACTATCCATTTATAACTATTGGAGCCGGTCAAACGAACCGATGACTTGCAACCCAAAGGCAAAACGGTTCGGCCTCCGAATCGGTTTTTAAAACATTGATCCTAGCTAACTATGAAAAGTTTAGATTACATTTTGGTTGGGGCCCATTTACTCTATCCTATTGGATAGGTGTCTGGACTACGGACCCATCGAGCCCATCCCTTATTTCTCCTCTGTGGTGCTGTGATTGGTGCGTCATCATAACGCGGAATGCTCGAATTCAAAAAGAAGCTTTTGGCTCCACCAAGGAAGGAGGGAATGGCTCCTTCCGACGGTGGTGGATGCTGGAGGATAACTTACTAAACACGTCAAAAGAATCTTAAGTTTTACGTTATAACGTGGATTACGTGGTTGTTTCTACCGGTCGACGGTTCTCCTCTGGCTTTGGGGGATATGCAATAGCAAAGAGCAGATGCCAAACATGCCCTCGTCTCTTTAAGTAACAGGAGTTCTATTTTCAAGAGCAAGGCGGCAAGCAAAGGAAGTATAAAGGGTATTGTTGTCTTTTCATTGTCTTTGATGTCTTCGGATTAGACTTGTTCATGGGCCGGGTAGCTTGACAGCCCGGCCTGCACCCGGGTCCGGCTTGGACACATAATTAGGCCCACGGGTTTAACCTCAGGCCCAAAACAGTAAGCTCAATTGTGTTTCGGGCCGGGCTCGGAATTTGTCAAAAAAGCCTAGCCCAAGTCCGGACCGAGCCTGATTTAGCAATATATATTTTATAAAATATATAATATGTATTTTATATATTATATAAAATATAATATTTATTAGAATATATATTAATAATTTAATATATATACATTTTTTTTATTTTTTCTTTCTAATTTCTCTCTCTCTCTCTCTCTCTCTCTTCTCGGCCACTTCAGCAGTAGCAGCGGCATGAGCTAGACTTCGGGCTTGGGCCTAGGCCCAGGCTTTAGGCTTTTTATGAGGGCTGAGCTCGGGCCCAAGTTGTAGGCCCGATGGTCGGGCCGGGATCGGGCTCGAGCCTTAGAAAAATCTGTTAATGCAGTGTGAAAGCCTGGCTTGAGCCCAGCTCGGCCCATGAATAGGTCTACTTCGGATATTAATTTTAGGAAAAATTCCCGATTAATACCCTATACCTTGGGCTAGTGCCACTTTGGTTCCTGGACTTTAAGACATGACAATTTAGTACCCAAACTTTCAAAATGTGTCAATCCAGTACCTGTCGTTAACAAGATGTTAAGTGACATTTGAAAAGACACAAATGTCCTTTGAGTGTTGATAAAAATGATAAAAAAGTCCAGGAACCAAAGTGGATTGACACATTTCAAATCCTTGCCTCTTTTGTTCAAGAAAATTGGGGTTATGTCTCAGTGGGCATTCTGATGACTCCAACTTTCTTGAATAGAAGAGGCAAGGATTTGTGACTGTTCATCTTTTATCAATGTTTGGATGGTTGATAAAGAGAATTAGATGACACTCAAAGGATATTTGTTTCTTTTCAAATGACACTTAAAAGTTGGTTGATAGCAAGTACTTGATTAGCACATTTTGAAAGTTCGGGTACTAAATTGTTGCGTTTTAAAGTTCGGGAACCAAAGTGGCACTAGACCCAAAGTACATGGTACTAATATGGAATTTTCCCTTAATTGAGATAAGTTGGTCAATCGATAAATTGACTATGATACACATGCTCATTTGTTGCTATATTGAGTCTCATGGTAACTAAGAGTTATTGGTGAGCATCATTACTTTGATAAATAATCTCTCCCTCGCATTGATTTATTTGCAATTTATAACGTATAATGATGGTACATGGTTTGGTCGCTCCTAGCTGGATGGTAGTTCAGATGTCGTTCATTTCAGGTGGCCGATCGAACTACAAGAGAGTATAACCAAAGGACCTAGGGTGTTTTACTCAGTGTGGGCACTTCGATGCTTAAATTTGCGAAGAGTAATTACGAGTTTGAAAGCTTTGTAAATGAGAGAGCTAGAGAGTTAAATCACACATATGCCTTTATATAGGTGAGTTGCTGTAGGCCTCATAAAACACACCCGAGATCCTCGATCTACATTACCCGGAGATGAACCGATAGGACTTATCGAGTCCGTCGATTCGGGCGGGATAAGGATAAGGCTCCTAGATGTGTGGTATGATCCAACAAATTTTATCCAACAAACAATTGCATGTACAAATCCTTTATTTATTTATTTATTTATTTCTCATCCAAAGTGGGGAAAAGAAGAAATAATATTCTTTGTTCTATCCATTTTTGTCATTTTAAAATATCATCACTTTATTCATGCAAATCTTAGAAAGGGTATTTTAATAAATTAATCTTTTTTGTTCAATCCAATTGATACAGAATGGATGAAGTATTAGAATCTGAAAATTCAAGAAGTATGGCCGTCAAAAAAAAAAAAAAATTCAAGAAGAATTTGCGTCAAATAAAAATTTGAGGGGTTAAGTATCATTATTCCAAGCACAGGTGTTGTAATCTGTAATTTAATTGCAACGTTAACACTAATAATAATATCTCGTGGACCTGCTCGCTCGCTCGCTCGCTCGCTCGCTCGTACACGTTGATGATGGTGCCTTCTCCGAAGTCCGAACAAAGTTGAAAGGAAGAGAGAAGTTGCAGAGATTTTGCGAGAGAGAGAGAGGGAAAATAGAAAACGTAAAGAAAAAGAAAAAAAAAAAGACTGAGAACGGCCATGACCAGGACTAGCCTTGACCTACGCACAACGGCGCAAGTTATCAAGCAGTCCTCTGCGTCTTTCCTCTCCGGCTTCTACACATTCCTCTTCCTCTCTTTCCTCCTCTTCTCCTTCCGTACTGTTGTCGAGAGCGGTACCCTATTCGTTACCTCCTTCATCGATCGGGATCCCTCCTTGAAGTCATTACTTTCCCGCCTCGATCTTGCCGGCAAGAATGTTCGATCGCCGGAGAGTTTCAAATCTCCGACCACCATGAGCCGTCGTCGCCGGCCGTTCCTTCACCTGAGCCGCGTCGGTACTCTTGACGATGATTTCTTTTCTGGAGACGATGATGAGGATCGGAGTCTGTTTGGATTGGGTCGTCCTGCTCCTGTAAATCGCAGTTTTTTGAATCTGAGTCATTTCTTTCGTGGCGAAGGGAAATTAGGGTTTCTGGATTCGGAGAAGGGCGATGGGATTAGGTTTTCGGAGATTGTTGGTTCTGGATTTCTGTTCAAGGCGGAGGGTTTCTCTTTGAATGCTGATATTGAAAATGAGGGTGAGGATAATGGTGAAAGGAACATGACAACGATTGAAGAGAAGGGGGAGGAAGGGGATCGGCCTGCAGATTTTCAGTTACTTGTTAAGGGTCTCGAACTGGGTCGACGTGACGCGGCGACTTTGTTTTTTCTGGTGAGTTTCTTGTCCGCAGCTTATGGTTGGGTGATTCTAGGGTTCTTGATTACGCATTCTTGTGTTCTTGGTATCGTGTTCTATGCTGTGGTTAATGACTATCTGAAGAAACATTATTTATTTATGAAAACGATCTGGGCTGGTTCGCGGCTGGGAATTCGGAGGCTTTCGGGCTTTATACTCATGAGATGGGCTGTTAGGGATGCTTTGACCCAACTCCTCGGTCTGTGGTATTTTGGTGAAATTGAAGACCAGTACTCATTTTTTAAATTGTTTGTGAGATTGAAATTGATGCCATTCTCCATATCTTCTCCCTGGACCCGGGGGTTTGAGACAGAGATCTCGGGCTTTCTGTCTACGTGGTTTTTCCTGGATGTTTTTGTGGCTTTTGTGTTTGCAGTGGACTGTTGGGTTGCAATTATGGATACAAGGAGGAGCGGGAGGGAAGTCATACAGGAAGGTTGTTACTTGATATCTACGATGTTGATACAAGCAATTCAATTAAAATGTTTGGAAATCCTTTCTGGCTCTGTTCCCAGATGGGTAGTGGCTCGGTTTTTTGGGGAATTATGTGCTTCTTTTTTCCAATCGATAGTGGAAGTCTATTTTATGGTGGCTTGGTTAATATTATACTTTGCTGCAAGGTGCAAGAATGTCAATCCAGAGGGAAGGAGGTTTGGTCGAAGAGATTTAGAGGACTATATTAATGGTCTCAGATGATTGTGGCTATGCTAGGGTGATGGTTCACTTGGGGTCTTTGAATGCAACTGTAAAATATTGATAACCTTTTGATGCTTTGCGTGGCCCTCTCTTGAAGTCCATGTGGATTGATCTCTGCCAACTTTGTTGGTGTACTCACCAGGACCCTCTGCCTTGTATGTACTTTATCAGTGAGTATATGAAATTGTGTATATTTTCACTGGAAGACTTCCCTTTTTAAAAGGTTCTGCCTTTTCTCTTGGTGATAGTGGCATAACACATTGAGAATGGCCATGATTTACGCAACTGAAAAGATAATCTTCACGTCATCTTTTGTTACAATGTTTTTTGGGTTCTTTGTCAGTTTTTAGTGTCTTTGGTTCCTTGTACATTTCTTGCAGAGATAAACACATTTGTTGAATGCCAGGCTCAATGGGTTGTTTTGCTTCTATTAACATCACATTCCATGTGGTTCATGTTTATTTGCATTGTTGCCTATGTGGACTTGAAAGCAAACTTTCTCCATTATCATTTATTTGAACATTTGTTCTGTTGTGGGATGTGGTGGTACTTAAGTCTCTCACTCTATCTAGTTCAACTTAGCACTGGATATCAATTAATCCATCCTGGCTGCTAAGATATTTTTAATTGGGGCTTCTATTTGGTTTTATCTTTCCACAGGTTCCAGAAAAGTGTAAAGGGATCACTTAGAGAACCTTTGCAGGACTTTTGCTGCCCTAAGCACACATAATGGAATATGAGCTAATGAATGAGCTAGTGAATCTCATAGGGAGCGCACTTGGGGCCATTTGGGAGGGCTGAAGCTTTTGAGAAGTTACTAAAAGAGGCTTTAACAGAAAGCTGCCTTTTTTGGCTGAAGCTTGAAGGACAGCAAGTTTGGGTTTTCCTAGTTTTTCACCAAACATTGCTTATAAAGTGTTGGGGTGGGGTTCGCCTTGCAAAGCCATAGGTCACCATGGGAAAGCCCTCCCAAACAGGCACTAAATACCTAAAAGAGCTAAAATGTTTCTCAGATATCTTTCTGGCTCTTCTATCTATTTAGAAGTGATTGACATTTTTGATGAGTGAAAAGTGAGGGCTTTTGGAAGGATTCATGCTCCTTTATCTATAATTCGTGGAAGATCAACTAACAACTAATGAACAAGACTGATAAAAAAAACTTGTGAATGAGAAATGCACCTTCTTGGAAGCAGCACTCACTATCACAGTATTACCAATAATACCAGATAATCTGTTTTGGTCCTTTATTGTATCTAGACGTGATTAAAATTTTATGGTTTCCTTGTCTAACATCCATTTGTAAAAAATTAAAAAAATGAAGATTATTAAGTTTAACTCTATAAACTAGATCTTCAGCTAAAGAATGGAATTCAACCTACCTGTTTGAAATAAAGATTTTTACTCATCAAGTTGGAGGTGCTGGCATCTCCAAGGCCCCAATGAAGATCTCCTGATAAATATATGATTTCCCTCACCCTAGTTTTGCGGAGTTGATTTTCTTTTATATAGTTGGTACTTGGTAAAGACTCCATGAAATTCTAAAATAACACTTTATATTAGTAAATGACATGTGCAATCTGGGAAAACCTAGCGGGCGTAAAGTTTCCAGAATACTTGCTCCCTCCAAAAAAGGCTTCTATTCTTTTTAGTAGCTTGTTATTATTCCAGTTCCTGGTGCTCAGAGAATAAACAACGAAGACAGTTCTTGTCAGCCCAGTGTGTTCTGTTCCAAATCTTGGAAGGTTAAAAGTATGACGAGAACAATTTTTTTTTCTTTGAAATACATTTACTCTATTACATTGTTGCTGATCTTTTTCTGGTCAGCACTCAGCATTCCATAGTTCTGTTATCTTTTCTTTTCTTTTTTAGCTGCATTTGGCAAGAGTGCAAAAGCAAAACTGAAGGAAATTTGCACTCAAGTTCAGTTTTGTGGGCATTTGGTGAGAATGTGTATTCATACTGAAAATGAAAGCAATTTTATTTTATCAACTGATTTTGTGTTCAAAATGAGAGCAATGGAAGCAAACTTTGCACTCAAAGTTGGTCAATGTAAAATTAGGTTGGTTCCAGCCTCAGATTTGTGATTGCACTCTTGGAACCAAACAAGACTCTGTTATGAATGCAAGATTGCAGGAATTGCATCCTTTTATTTGAACAAATTTGCATTTACATCAGTGCATTCACTTTTTCCACTCTTACCAGATGCATCCTTTGGAGTAAATATGATATTGTATTGATATGTGTAAGAAGTAGCCAAGCTCTATTACAAATTTATTATCTTCTTTGACTAATGTAAAATAGTGGATACATAAATCGGTAAAAGTTGTGCTGCATCAATGACCAAAACGTATGCTACACAGAATTCTGTTCTTGGGGAACCAACCAAAATCCTGGAGCTCCTAGCAGTGAAGTTGGGGATAGGGTTCAGTAGTTTCTTTGGTTTTGATGCCCCATCTTGAAAGGTATATCTTAGCTTGTTTAGGTGTTCTGACAGAAGGCTAGTTACCAGAAGCAGCAGACAAGTTGGCAGAAGGAGAGGAGACTACTTGTAATTAGGTGCAAAAGTATTCAGGATCTGAGTGATGTACATTTTCTATGTGCTCCTGCTGCTAATTCTGGAGGCAACTTTCATCAAAGCATTACCCAGCTGAGAATGGTATTCAATTGCTGCCACTTGACCTTGTTTTTGACTGTCTTGTTAGATATGACTTTATCTTCTCATATTTTTTCTGCTTGGGATATTACTATAGCATGCTGAATATTCTCAACTCTCTCTCTCTCTCTCTCTTTTTTGGTTCTGACTCTCCTTTCTTGACATGACTAAAGTTTCGCTTCAGGATTCTGTTCCTGCACCTCTAATGGTGAATATAGTTGCCTCTAGTTGCCCATGTGTAAAGATGATGCTAAATCTAGTTTCTTTTTTTCTTTATCAATTACTCTTCAGAATTTTATTAATGTAAATTAAAATTAAACAGTGCATCAGTACAGTATCATCACCCGAATGTTGGATAGCCTTAGTTAACTACTTCTAATATATTAATTGCATTTCACCTTTTCTCAATGCCTCTCCATATTGATGCTAAATCCAGTTCTTGTGCTGTACATTGTTTTCAGTTGCATGTGCTATCTAACAACTTCTGGAACTGTTATGGGATATATCTTATGGTGGGAAAAGAAATCTGAAGATTTTGCATTGTGATGCCAATGTTATTCATACATCTTAGTCGATTTAGGACTACAGATAAGGTCCTTAGCCAATTAAACTAGGGTTTGTCCTATTCCTAGTTGGTTTATTAGTAGTGTATCTTGGTTTTGGAGTAGGAAAACAAGGGAAAAGAGCTGGGCAACCTACCCTTCAGCTATGTGTTCATGCTTTAGTATGGACTTGGATACAAGTTTGGCAATGTGCTTGTGCTTGGACCTTGCTATGCCGCTATGTGCCTGTACTGCTATGCAGGCATGCCCTCCTACGTGTGTGACTGTAGTGCTAACATTCCTCTCCCTAAGATTCCCTGGCTGTACCAGTCTCTTGGGAAGCTCCCAGGAGATTTCCATCATATTGCACTCCAAAGATTCCTTTGTGGGCACAGGTAAGTAAGGGTGTCAATGGACCGGTTTTGGACTGGACCCCGTCCAGTCCAAATTCAATTTGGACCAATCCAGTCCAAATTATTTATTAGATTGGATTGGACCTGGTCCTTCTGTGATAAATTTATATTGGATTAGGTTGGATTAAGTCAATATCTGGTCCATTGCTATAAGATAAGAATATAGGTGTCAATGGACCGGATTTGGGTTGAAATCAATCTAAATTAAAATAAATTTGAACAGATTGGACGGTCCAGACATTGAACTGGACCGGTCCAAAATGGTCCAAAATATTTCATTGGATTGAATTGGACCCGGTCCACTTGTAATGGACTCACACTGGACTGGATTGGATCGGACCAAATCCAGTCTAATTGACACCCCTACAGGTAAGATCTCCAAGAAAGGAGATATGTTTCTATTCTTTTTCCTATTAATTGATCATATGTTCGTAGTCCTATATCTCCATAATTTCTTATTTGTGAAGCCCCATCTCCTTCCAAATGAATCTCTAGGACATACTCTGCTCCCTATTTAAGCCAAGATCTGTATCTGGGAACAACCTAGTTTTCTTTTCTGTGACACACCATCTCCACACCCAACAAATAATGGAACAGGAAGCCCGCTCTAACCTCTAAATCAAGGCTAATGCCGATGCAATCTATTTTCTTCATGGAACTTTAGAAAAACTCCAAATTATTGTTGCGAAGTTGCACCCAGAAAGTGGTTTGAATCTGACTCTTTTTCTGATTACTTCGCAATTTATATGATTGGATTTTTAATATTTTAGCTCCTTGTATGGTGAAAATGCTCATTGTCCCTTGGTTTGGATTAAATGACAGAGAAGGATCACAGTATGGAGAGTGAAAGGGGAAGCTGGGGTAAGGGGCAGAAATAAAGGAAAAAAAAAGAAATTGAATCCTTCTCAAACATGGTACTGACAAAGCCAGGTAGTCTGGATCTCTCGCATTTTCTTTTTTCCTCACTTTTTGTGTCTTCAGTAAGGTGGCGAAGATGCTGCTGCATCTTTCATTGCTTGCTAGAATGGATCTTTTATTTCTTGTTTTTTGATCAGTAAGAATGGATCTTTTATTTCAATGTTATATGGAATTAAATAGTGCATCTTTGTTATAAATAACTTGTGTAATATTGTCTACACGGCGGAGTAAATTAAATTCTCTTTATCATGATCAAAACTATGTCATATTCTGAGTGTAATCACTTGGTACAACAAACGTGCAAGTGATTATGTAATGCCATCCTCTATGGAGTTGATTACACTCTTCTCTGTCTCTGTATATACCTTCTCCCAACTATATGGGTTAGCTATGTGGATGATGAATCTTGTTCCACCATTCCATTTTATTTAATGCCATCCTTCTCTATATGTAACTATGTATTTATCTGTGACTGTGCACATGTTTTCATTTTATGGAGCTGCAAATGTAGAGTTTCATGGACTTAAGTGGTCCTACATAGGTTGTCGGTCTGCTATCTTATGGCTTTTCTGATTTGAACTATAAAATTTAGGTTATTTTCTTGTTTAAGATAGTCATTCAAAGAACACAAGGCTGTCTTCTTCTTCCTTTTTGGAAGCCGTAGGGTAGTCTTGCTTCACTAAATATATACTCACCTTATTACTGATAAAAAGAAGATATCTTATTGCATGAAAGGAGTATTATATTGCATATCCATATCAGGTTTTGTTCAGTGCTTGAGTGCTACAATATGGACAATCTAATGCAGAACTAGAGACACCAGAAAGATGAATTGCAGTAAAAAAAAGAAAAAGAAAAATGAATTATTGCAGAAATTTCCCTATATATTTCGCCCTGGGCCTGAAGAGTCTGGGAGTCTGAGACTATTTTATATTTTTCTAATAATATTGTAGGTGCTGTAAATTAATTAAGTACGGGTTATTGCTGAATTAACTGATAAAAAAGATTCTTGCTGAGTTAATTATATTTGTAGCTGCTATTCTGTGAATAATGGGGAAGAGAGAACTTCCTTAGTTATAATTAAGCTCTATATTTGAATCACACACTGCTGGAGAGAAGCTTCATTCCTCTTCAAGAATTGAAAATTGTCTAGTCGGTTTTATTGAGAAACAGAAAAGCTTTATTCCTCTTTAAGAATCAAAATTTTTCTAGTTAGATTTATAAAGAAACGGAATCTTATCGTTGAACTGTGTGAGCATCTGCACTAGAACAAATGGACCTATGATCCAATCAAGTCCTGGGGAACCATTACTTGGGTCAGTACCTTGGGAATCTGGGCCTTCCAGTGTAGGAGATATAGTAGTGTGACTTGGTCCTACTGGACATGGAGATTCCATTTGCATTAAGATACCGGCACTGCTATAGGGACTGAAGTCTGATGCTCTCGTTGGGTTACTCTCACGTTGAGGTGGGAGAGCGGATTCGGCTTGGACCCTCCCTATACCAGAGAGTCCAGATCATTGGCAATCCAGAGTGAACATCTCGTGCAGCTGGGTTCAAAGATCTGGCGAGGCGAGTCGCTGGCAGGCAGTTTGATTGGAGAACGGGTGTAAAGAAAGAGCTATTTGTTTGTCCTAGTTTTGCTTGGTTTCTGCTGTCTTTTTGGGTCTGCCTTGGCGGTGTAGGATTAATGCCTTTGCTGTACTAGGACGCTCATACTAAGCTCCATGTGGAGGGATCCTGTGGCTGATCCTAACCGTCAATCAGGTTGGCATTGATTGGCCATCATCCATATGATATAAAACTCAATACTCCCCCCTCCCACCTTGAATTGGAGTTTTACCTAGTTGATCATAGCCAAGTACAAGTTGTATATGAAATATGCCATTCATGTTTTCATGAATGGAGAGAGGGTGGCGGGGGCTATGGGCTATGGGCTATGGTCAAGTCAATATATTAATCTAATGATCTGCTAATCCATATCCAACCCAACCAGCTGACTTCCTACCGGTTGGTTCGCTCATGAGGATTGAGGAGAGCATTCTCAAATCTCAACCTGGGTGACGTAGTTCAACACGATCAATGCCTGCATGGAATGATGTGCTCCACCATTTCAAACGCAGTTACAAAGAGAATCAGATTTGAAGCGTCTGATCACCAATGGTTAGTTAGGGTAGACGAATGCTTGGAGACGTACAAAAAAAAAAAAAAAGGCTCCATTGCGTTTAATTTTAAATACTAGCTAGGAACAATCGGATTTTACTCTGTTTTTAGCGTCTGTATTATTACCCAATCATAACCTGTAAAGAAATCTTTTCCTGCTCAAGTTTTAGCTCATGTTCAACTATGAACTCAGTTTTCTCTGCACTGTTTTGCTATTGTCCATTTCCAATTTGATTACCTATCATATTTTTCTGGCCGATTTTAACCGCCACGTAGAGGCGAGTCCGATCTCCCTAGTCTTTACAGGGGAGAGGTTCCTGATGTGCAGCTATTAGGTGTTGTGGGTAGGGGTCGGCCCTGTATAGAAAATCCGAGCTCCCTACTGGCTACAGCCTGCTTGGATTCCAAGAAAAACCAAACCATTAGACTATATAAGGATTTCGGGTTAAGGAACTCATTTTTGTTCTTTGCAGTGCAATTTTATTTGCATTAATACAAATGCATGGGAGTGCAAATGAAAAGAATGCAAATTTTGGTTCAATTTTTTTTTTTTTTTTTTTTTTTGTTTTGTTTTTATTTATTTTGCTTCATTTGTACTGCAATGGAGAAAATTCCCGATTATTACCCTGTATTTTGGGCCTAGTGCCACTTTGGTCTCCAAACTTTAAAATGCGATAGTTCAATACCTGAATTTTCAAAACTTGACAATCTAGTACCTATCGTTAACTAGTCGTTAAGTGGCATTTGAAAAAGATACAAATGCCCTTTTGAGTGTCATCTAATTTTCTTTATCAACCATCCAAACATTGACAAAAAATTAACGGTCTCAAATCTTTGCCTCTTCTATTCAAGAAAATTGGGGTCACCAGAATGCCCACTCAAACGTGACCCCAACTTTCTTGAATGGAAAAGACAAAGATTTGGGACTGTTAATTTTTTGTCAACGTTTAGATGGTTGATAAAGAAAATTAAATAACACTTGAAGGGCATTTGTGTCTTTTTTCAAATGCCACTTAACGGCCGGTCAACAACTAGTTAACGACAGGTATTGGATTGTCATGTTTTAAAAGTTTGGGTATTAAATTGTTGCGTTTTAAAGTTCAGGGACCAAAGTGGCATTAAGCCCAAAGTACAGGGTACTAATCGGGAATTTTCCCACAAAATAAGGTAAAATTTGAAACAAAAATAAATTAGAACTCACGCTCAAATCATTTGCACTATCATAATTTTGCATCAGTTCAAATAGATTTACACTGCAACCTGACACATAGGCTTAGTTTGGAAAGAGTGTAAATACAACTATGTACAGTGTAAAAGCTTATATACGATATTTCTAAACCTTGTATTTGTACTATACATATTTGTATTTATGTTCTTCCCAAATTGAGCCTTATGTTGTGTTTGGTTGTAGTGCAATCTTATTTGCACTACTACAAATGCATGAGAGTGCAAATGAAACAAATACAAATTTTGGTTTAATTTTGTTTTGGGTTTACTTTATTCTGTTTCAAGTATTATCTTATTTCATTTATACTGCAGTTAAACAAAATAAGGTAAAACTTGAAACAAAAATAAATTAGAATTTATACCAAAATCATTTATACTACCATAATTTTGCATCAGTGCAAATTTATTTGTACTGCAATCAAACGCAGTATTAATCAAGGTTTTCGAACCGCCGTTGACCCGGACAGTTGGATCATTCAGCCCAGGAATCGTTCAAGCAACCGGTTCCATTTTACCCCAAACCCGATCTTTGACCAAAAATCGTTGAAAAAGTCAATAACCTGTTGACCCGGGCGGTCGAACCATCGACCTATTGGCCTGTTCAATGATTTTGACCATTTTTTATTTTTTAATAATTATTTTTAATTTGTTTGTCAGAATGGGCCATCTGTTCAAATCGGACGGTCGAACTGTTGACCCGGAAACCGATGGCCAGAATAGTTTCGTTTTAGGGTCGTTTTTTAAAACGTTGGTATTAATAGCAAATAATTGGTGTAACAATAAAATCCTGGGCTGAAAACCAAGGCTTAAAGTATCGATACTCTCTTTTCATTGAAACCGGATTTAGTCAATGCAAAGCCCGTTTAAACAGCCATTATAGCCTTGCATTGGGAATATCTCCCCATGAAATAAAGCACAAAAGTATAGAGATGTTCCTGATGCAAGGCTGTAAAGACTGTTTGAACGGGCCTTGCACTGATTGAAGCCGATCTTCTTTTCATTCCATTGAAACTCATTGTTATTTATTTATTTATTTGGTATAATATTCTGTCAGGGGATATATTTTATCACCCTATTATTATATTATTAAAAATTTAAAAACACCTAACACTTAAAAATTTAGGTTGTTGATGACCCTGAATATCAATATACATTGTATGATATACGTATGATACTTTGAACCTTGGTGGGAATGTAGGTTTGAATTTTAGGGTGTCCATTTTATTTAAAAAATGCCAAAGGTTAAGACTGTACCAGTCCACCCCCCCCAACACCCATATGGTTAGGAGCCTGGGACCAACATTGGGTAATGGGTTTTATTTTACTTTTTTATTTTATTTTATTAATACCACTAGCATGTATTGACTATTGATTTTAGGGCTGTTCACGGGTCGAGTTGGGTTGGTTTATTGATGTTTTTCCAACCGATCCGACCTGGTCGGTTTACCTAGAAATGAAACCGAAACCGACCCAGTACTAAGTAAAATCGACCTGGTCGGTTTGAATCGGTTTGTGTCGGTTTTGTGAATGATTCTCTCGGTGTGAACGATAAAGGATTCAAGTCTAACAAAGCAAAGGCTGGATGCCTAAAAATTAAAAATGATTTGATGGATTAAAACTAATATTTTATATATCAGAAATTTTATATATAACATGTATATTTCTGAAATAAAGCTGAACTATATATATTTCCATAAGTATATATCTGAAATATATATTAAAACTGAAATATATATATCTGAAATATATTATATATATAATATATATCTAAGTCGGTTCGGTTTATATTTTTTTGTAACCCGAAACCGACCGATACTAAAGAAAAACCGACCAACTCGGGTTGGATCGGACCGGGTTAGTCGGTTTGGTCGGTTTTGGTCTTGTTATGAACAACCCTAATTGATTTCATGATTTCAGACGATATTTTTATGAAACTAGTATACATGTATGTGCATTTTCACGTGACAGTATCTCTAAGACAATTATTTATAATTCATGGACAGTTTCTGAACAATTATAAATGGGCAATTTTTAAAATGAGAGCAAAGGACAGGGCATTCACTCTTTTATAAATAGTATAAACAGATTGAAGAGAAGAAAGTCTATTTATATACATCTCATAAAATTGTGGAAAATATTTCGGTCCTGTCCTCATCAAATTCATCGGAACCACTATTAATATCCGTGAGCTGACCATTGAGCTATCACAATCGCATCAAAATTAAGAAATTTTAGATAGTGGATGTGGATGTATGCAGAAATATTAAATATGGTTCTAGGTGGAAGGAAAACGAAACCATTTTATTCTTTACGTGGCCTTTTAACACTCACAAGAGAATGGATGATGACCCATTTCATGGTTTAGGTTGACTTTAAGAGTTCTGGTTCCATTTCTTTCTATTTGAAGAACAATTAATTAGCTGAGGGCCGGTTTAGCCTAGCTGATGAATCAAATTAGGCAGGGTTCGACTATGATATTGGAAAAGATATGGTATTTAAAAAACGTTTGATCAATTATAAACGTGGTGACCAATCAAAATTTATGGATGAACTTTGATTTGTCAAAATTTTTTGATACCACGTCTTTTCCGCATTAGAGATTTTCCCTTCAGATTAACATAATCTTGGGAGACTGTTTAGCATCATCTCTATGCTCAGTCTCTGTACGTAGTCTTTGCAGTCTGCTCTGAAAGAGATATGTAAATCAAATACCTACTAGTAGTAGTAGTAGTCTTATGGGTCTATACTCTTGCATACATAATAAGTCATTTTCGTCGTAGGATGTGAGTTTTGATCATGGACTATTATTATGGGCACAAGGGGCTCTCTGTGCCAAACGCTATTGGTATTTAGTATTGGCTAATGGCTAGTAGTTGAGTCCTGATGACCTTCTTGATTCTCAATTCAAGACAAGAGAGTAGACGACATCTTCTGGCTCTTGGCTCTTGTCCAGAAGGGGATGTACTTGCTGCGTCGCTCATGTGCTCCGTTGCTATCATAATTATGTCAGATTTGGACATTTGTTGTGTCCTTGGAGTTGGGGACGTCCTTAATTTGGAAACGGGTAAAAAGGCCTTATGCCATGTCTATGGACACTCTTACCATCCAACTGGAATAGGATTGCACAACCCTACAACTCATGTTGTGTTTAATGGGTTACAATTGGGCTGGTTTGTTTGTATTTGTTTTTTTAAAATTTTAACCGAGACTGTAGTTTTAAAATTCTAATCTTCGTTGATTTGGACGGTTTGGATTGTTCGGCCAGAAATGTTCAGGCAATCGGTTCTGTTTTACCCTAAATCCGGTCATTGGCTAAAAACCATTGAATTAGTTAGTGATCCGCTGAATTGGGTGGTCGAACCGCCGACTTGTTTGACCCGTTCAATGATTTTTGGCCTTTTTTATTTTAATTTTTTAAGTTGGAACAGGCTGTTCATTTGAACGGGACGATCTAAACCGGTGGCAAGAACAGTTTCGATTCTAGGTCGGTTTTTAAAACCTTGGGTCTTGCTTATCCCGAACTCGGTTGACAAAAGGTGTTAGGATAATTTTGTTGAGGGTAACAAAGGCTCAGTTTACGAAATAATACAAAATATAAGGTTTTGTAATCTACAATTTTGCATATGTACTCCTTTGAAACTAAGCAAAAAAGAGTTATTGTATAATTTGCCGGCAACCGAGTTCGGGACTTGCACCAATTCGTGACAATACATACCCACCTGTACAGACTGACTTAATTCCTTGTTTCAAGGGGGAAAAGAGAGGAGATGGTTATTATATCATATGCACCACCCTAGCTAGTCAGTTTGTTGCAGAAGCAGAAGCAGATAGAGAAAATTGCACCATCAATAGTTGATTTCGATCATGATTATTTTTATTAACATTTGCATGCCACCACCCCGGCCTCCCTCGTCTCAGAGGCCTCAGCTTCCTTCTCTCTGCCATTAATGTATATGTTACTACTCCATGTACATCAGAATTCAGAGCAGAAGGAATCAAATAATGGGCAGAGCTCGTTCCAAGTAAATATATATAGTTGAAGGAAGTCATGACATTGCTTTTCAGTGGCTATACAAAACCCTAGAATGGATCAAGCGACATTAATCATATCTTCAAGTAATTATAATTAGGTGTTATGATGTTCAACCAAATTGGGTAGTAAAGAGGTCGATTAGCATCAGCTGCAGGTGGAAAAAAAGCAAGATCAGAGGAACCGATGGATGGAACATCAACGACAGAATAAGCAGATCCTTGGATCCGGTGGAGACTTGGCGCAGCGAACAACGTCGAGGAACATGGTCTCGTCACAGGGAATGCAAAGCTTGGAGTCGGCGGCCATGAAGTCGTACTCGTCCCGAGCTCGATCGAGCAAAGCTCTGAAGAGGGGATGCTTGAGCAAGGTCACCTTGATCACAAACCTCTTGCAGTTTTCACCTACGTACACCACCAAGTGACCCCTGGGTACATCCTTAGGGATGGACACCTCCTCCTCCTCCCGCAGCGCCCATCGCCATCGGTAGGGGTAATCACAGGTCGCAGAGGGAAAAACTTTTGCGCTCATCCTTCTCCATTTTCTAAGCCATGCCTGCAGCTGGAAGAGCTTCGTCCCCTTCATCATCTTTTGGTTCATCTTCACGGCAGGAGAGGGAGCTGAGCGATCGAGCCAGAGAGGAACGTGGTGTGGAGCAAAAATGAAGCGAGGAGGTTTGTATATATATATACAGTTAGAGCTAACTAATAACTATGGATCTTGAGCATTTAATGACGGTTGAAGTGATGGGTGAGTATGAAACTTCCTTGCATGTATGATTTTTTTTTTTAAATTAATTAATTATAATAATAATAATAATTATTATTATTATTTTTTAATTTTTAGGGCTATCAACAGTATGATCAATGACAGTCGTTTGCTACAATTTTTTTTTTTTTTTTTTTTTTTTTTTTTTATATTTGAAAGAAGAGATAATAAAAAATTTGTGATTTTTTGCTTGTTCTTGTATATGTGATTGCAAAGAATTAATATTGTCCTGAAAAATTTGAGAAATTAATAACACTTTGACCTTTTTACCCCCAATGGATAATGTTAGTTTAACTATTTAATAAACTGATTAAAAAAATTCATCAAATAAGTGAAAATTAATAAAATGAATAAAAATAAATAATAAAATAATAAAATGTTCAGCCAGTTTTTTTTTGCTTAAGACACATATTAATTAATACCTGGCATGGCATGCAAATTTCGAAAACAAACAAGGGCAATTTAAAAGCATCTAAAAGCGACCAGTACCTCAACCTACATCTTGTCCTCTGCTATCATTGTTATTACTTTATTACTTGTTAGACTTTGTTAGGAAATATTGTTGGGTTGAACGACGGCCAAACTGGTTTATTAGAATTTAGAAATGTTGTTGGGTTGGCTTCATGAAAATTATACTAATTCATTTTTATATAAATAGTTATAAAAAATAATCTATATATATATATATATATATTAAATTTTATATAAATGAGTCAAATAACCAAACCGGATGGTTGGACGTAGGGGTGTCAACGGACCGGTTTTGGATTGGATTCCATTTAAATCAAAATTCATTTTGACGGATTGGACAGACCAATAAGACAGATTGAATTTGGACGGATTGGGCGGATCAATATAAAATATTGAATTGGACCTGGTCCATCTATAATGAATTTATATTGGATTGAGCCAATATCTGGTCAATTGATATAAGATAAGAACATAACTGTCAATGGACCAGGTTTGAGTCGAAACCAATCTAAATTAACATGAATTTGAACAGATTGGGCAGTCTCTGGACCGGTCCAAAATATTCACTGGACTAGATTGGACCAGGTCCATTTGTAATGGACTCACATTGGACTGGACCGGATTAGACCAAATCCAGTCCAATTGACACCCCTAGTTGGACGATCTGAATGTTCTCAGCCCACTTTAAACAGATTTAGTGTATTCACCAATTTATTAGTGTATTTACCAATTTATTATTATTATTATTATTATTATTATAATAGTATACGAATGAGCAAGACAATGAGAGTATCCATCCCAAGGCTGTCCCGAACTGATTATTAATCAGGATAAAATCAAAATAATACAAAATTTTGATAATATAACTTCAACAAAAATATAATAAAATAGTAAATTATTTATATGTTAATAAATTAAGTGTCATATATATATTATATATATATATATTCTCTACCAATATATTATTTATGAAATTTATCATTTCAAGAACAAAATATAATAAAAATTATAAGAAAACTAGGAATAGTATTGACTATTCTGTCGGATAGGCAGAACCGGGCCAAAAGCTAAGGGGGCCAAAATATAAGTTGGATTTAAATGAGTGCTGTGAGGATTTTGGGGCCATGGCTACCCTCGGCCACCCCTGGCTGCGCCCCTACCGGCAACCCTCGTAAATGTGGGATTCAATACCAGAATACCAATACAATCAGTAGCAGAGTCGGGAATTTTCTTTTTTTGAGGAGACTAAGTTAAACAAGAAAATGAGATAGGGAGTAGAAGTAGGATTTAGAGAAGATTGGACTGAGAAGATTTAGGTCTATTATATGTTTTTTGTAAGGAAAAAATTAACATTTTTTTTTTTTAAATTTTGAGAAGTAGAAGAACATTAGAAAGTGATCCATTACATTTGAATTCAAGTTTTGGGGCCCAAAAGACCTACTTTATTATGAGCCTGTTTAATGCGTCTTTCCGTAGGGTCTTTCGGCTGTTTATAAGCTGGGAAGACCGAAAATTGGTCTATTTCCATTTGACACGAAAGATTTAGCCGTCAAAACCCATTTTGAGCTAATTTCGGGAAGCTCCAAATGAAGCTTTCCACGTTTTAATCTCACGCGGAAAGACCCGAAATGATATGCATCTGCCCAACAGTCTTCGGGCTGCCCGAATCTTATGTCAAAAGTTCAATAGGTCTTTTGACTGTCAGAGCTATAAGAAGATCTTCTCCAAAGAGACTTGCCAAACGGGCCCTATGCATTCATCCAATTTCCTCTTAGTAATCATATATAAATAACAGTTTTAACAAAAAGTTTGTGGGGCCAAAGACCCCACCGATCAATTAGAGACTTTACTTGATAAAGCCAAAGATAAATTTATGATGGGCCAACGGCTTTTATTTTTTATTTTTTGGCTAAAAAAAAAGAAACAGTATTCTAATTAACGTTACGACAAGATACAGTCACCGATTCAAACTCAGTACTCAGTTGTTCACGTGTAAGAGTTGGAAAATTTATGATGGTTCAAGGGCTCAATCATGATCCACATATACATTCCCATACCATTCACGTGGCAATCAGCTATTAATCCTCACACTTTCTAATTAAAAATTATTATTTTACATTCTATGTAGCCAAAAATATTAAAATTAAGCCGTTTACACAATGGCCTAGAAGATTGAAACCACGTTCGCCCTCTGGCCTACCACTACATCGATCCAAATCCATATCCGAAAAACCCAGGGTTATATATCGCACTTTCAAATCTTCAATCACACTAGTTCTTCCTCTTTTAATTTTCTTCTGTTTTTTAGAAGAGAAGAGAGGAATTAATGCAAATAAATTGAATACAATTTTGGAAATGGTTTATGGATAAGCGGACTGCAATCCACCTTTGAAATCTAAATTGCACCCTCTTCTTAGCCTACTAGTAGCCCCCTATAAATTGCATATTGTTTCTGAATTTGGCATCAATCCACGGGCAGGATTCAGTCCACCCTTAGAAATCTTAGCTCCACCCTAAGGGTGGACTGAACTATAAAAACCTTAATGGTTTATCTTGAGGCCTTGTTTTATGGATTTTAGCAGTGAATGGGAATCACAATCTTAGGCTCCGTTTGGTTTGTGGGATGGGGATGGGAAAAAATGAATATTCTAAAAATATTCTCTTTTCTCTCATTTGTTTTGAGGGAAAGAGAGGGATGGGATGAAAAATATGTGGGATGTTAGATCCCAAAATCAAGGATTTGGGGTCGCACCAAAACCGTGCGACCCCAGTGGAAAATTTTGAGAAAGAGGAGGGAGTGAGGAATGGTTTGTGTGGAAAATACATAAGTGGAGCTGGTTCGGTGACAGTGACGTTTGAACCCAGAAGCAGGAGCTGGAGGGGTTACACCAAAACCATCGACGGTCTGCTACCTCCCCTTCCTTGAGGACGGTCGCCAGGTGACGTTCTTTGTCGATGCCCCTCGAAGTGAGAATTTTTCATTTCAGCAGAGAAGCAATGTTAAAGCTGAAATCCAGAGTGATAATAACCAGTCGAGGCTGAGATTAACAGGTCCAGTGATACTGAAGCTGAGATTAACAGGTCCAGTGATACTGAAGCTGAGATTAACCAGCGATATTGAAGCTAATAGTAACCCTCTTTCCAAGGCAACCACATTCTAAATGGCAATGAATTGTCATCTGCGAATTGAACCCAACAGTCGCTTCTACTGGGGATATGCTTTTAGGGGATTTGCGGGCGTGCACGTTTCTATTGCACGGAAATGTAATCACGTACAACAATGCGACAGTACAGTGGGTAGTGGAAGGCTGGGAGAAGCATTATTCATCATCTCCGACGGCACTGTCCTAAGGTAGGAGATGATGAATAGTGCTTTTTCCATTATTTTCTCCATATAAAACCAAACAAGGGAAGTATAAATTTTTACACTTTCCCATCCCACATAAATCTTCCCATGAACCAAACAGAGCCTTATTGACCAACTTTTTCACATTCTTTTTGAGGATTTAAGTGGAATCCACAGGGAAGTGTTACCCTTTTAATTTTCCCGAGTGGAGAACAAATGCTCAAAATACAATCATCCAAAAATACTCATTAAAACAAATATAATCCAAAAAACATGGACTTGGGCCCAAAGATAAAAATGACAAAAGATAAAAAAAAAAAAATTAACCACTTACTTGAGAAAGTGGGTGAGACAAAAGAACATGGGAAAGTATTTACTCGAGTAAATTTAACAAAGAAGAACATAGATAAATGCACTTATCCCCGGGTAAATGGCCTCTTGGTAAACGAACAAGGACTAAAAAACAATAAAATTTGGAATGATCATTGTTGAGGGGATGGTTTCTTTAATTAGGGACTTGGATAATTTTTTCTTTTAATTTTGAAAAATTCAGATGCTGTTTTACAAGTCTTTTTAATAAGATCTTTTGACAGTCCATATGGATATGGCCAAAAGATGTACTGAGGTTTTGGGGTTATATCTTTTAAAGATCACGATTTGATAAATATAATAATTTACCATGGTTCATAAGGCTGTTAAATGAAAGATTTTAGGTGTAAAAAGATGAAAGGCTTCATTTGAAACTTATTTTTGGTTGTTTTGGATTTTTGTGAGCCTTTTGAAGACCACGGATTTTTTCGATCATTTTGTCTTTCAGTGCTGATCTTAAAAAGATTAAGGATCTATTTAGTTCACAATTAAAATCAGAATTGGAATTAGAATCATAATGCCTTTGAATTGAAATTAGAATGGTCTATTTTCATAGACTATTTGGATTTTATTCTGAAGTAAGGAGGAGGGAATGATCATTTTCTCAAATGCGAGAATCCCATCTACCATCAATGAGAATGAGATT